TTAAGAAAATGGAGAACATAATAAAAAAAAATAAAATGGAAAAAAGAAAAAAAAGAAAAAATAATAAAAAAAAATAATAAAGAAAAGGAAGAAAAAGGATATCACTGTTTATCACGAACGTATCGCATTTCTCTGGTTGTATGGCCGGACGGGCACACCATGAATCGTCCATGTATTTCCTCTGACAAAGGAAACGACGAAGGGTAACGGTGTAGGTGGAGACGTACTTACGTATATGAGTAAGAATGTGTGTTGTATGTACGTGTATATATGTGCGTAAGAGAAAGAGAGAAAAGAAAAAGAAAAAGGATGGGAGAGAGAGGGAGAGGGAGAGGGAGAGAGAGAGAGAGAGCGAACGTATGGCTCTTTTGTTTAAAGTGTTCTCTTTATGTATGTCAGAGAATATTTAAGTCCCTCTATGCATTTTACAATTACCAAGCGACCTTCGTCTACTTCGAGTAGACCACACACATACACACACACACACACACATATACACACATTTGCTTTATTTCAACTATCATCATAGTGTTGAACAACAACAACAACAAAAAAGAAAGTCAATGTACTTTATTTTCATTTAATTTCTGGTTAACGAAACAAAATATAATATGAATGTGTACATGTGTGAGCATGCGAAAGGAGTATATATATATATATATATATATATATATATATATATATATACATATATATAGATATATACGGGAATCAATTCGTATCTGGCCAGTATTTAAATTTATCCTGTGGTATATCTTGAAGGACTATAACTAATCGATCAATCGAACGATATTAAAAGTAAATGGTATTTCTATTCTTCTTTCTTGTTTAGTTATTCTAATAATTATTTATGTATGATTTATAAAAATAACTTTATTACAGATAAAAATTTTAAAGAGAAAATAATTTAAAGGGAATTTGTTTTACGTGACATAAATTTCATTGAAAATGTATTTGATTCAACAAATTTAGAAAAATAATTGATTGTTTAGTTGCATTGTAACTTTTCTTTTTTGCTTTTTTTTTTTTATAAATGATTTATGAATAAAATATATATAGAAAAAAAAAAGAAGAAGAAGGAAAAAGAAAAAGATGAATTTACGTTTAGAGAACAAACACAACACAACACAACGCGATAAGCAAGTAATATTTCACAGGAATACAATGTATCATTTGTACAAACCTAGTAATGTCGTCATTCTAATCAATATATATATATATATATACGCACATATTTTGTAAAGGTAAATAAAAATTGACTAAAAATAAATGAGATAAGAATAAAAATGTATTTGTTTATCATCTTTCGTGTAAATGAAAATAGAAGAAGAATATATATGGAACATACGAAAGTGTTGGTACCACCAATTTTTTCGATTCCTAATAAAAATGTCCGTAGTTTAAATCGATATTTTTTTAAATTACATACGTGTATATGCGTACATCTGTTTAAAAAAAAAAAAAAAAAAGAAAGAGTTACTAAAAATAAGCAAGAAGGACGAGAGGATATTATATATCCATTTGTATATCAACAAGGAAAAAAGAAAAATATGTACAAGATGATAATAATGATGATATATACATACGTTTCCTTGATTTCAATCAAGAAGAAAGAGAAAGACAGAGAGAGAGAGAGAAAAGAAAAAAGAAAATAAACTTTAGTAGAATCCGTGTGTGTCCTCGTTGATTATCAATTCTAAGGTAAGAGAGACGAAAAGATAATAGAAAGATACGCGTGTTAAAGTACGTATGAATTAAGTTTTGAAGAAATAAGAACGTAATATGGCCAGGTTTAAAAGGAAACGATGATAAAACGCATTTATTTTTCTTTCGATGAATCGACGACGACGACGTGTGTACTATGATAATGGCAATGAGACAACACAACGATGACGATGACGATAAAGAAGAAAAATACAAGTCGAAACAAGGAGAGATGTTTTACGCGCAGCCTCGATTTGCCGTGTAGGGCTGACCGAGACAGGGCACCTACTACTGCGAAGGTGAAAGACGAAGAGAGAAAACTCGAGAAACGAATGATAGAAAAAGAGAGAACTACACATACATACATACACATATAGAGTAGTTGGATTCTCTCAACACACGAGTTTGTTGCTTGCTCTAACACGTCGACCGATTCTTACACGTATATACCGTACGTACGGTAGATACGAGCACCATTTCCGGCGTGCGTTCCGTGGCATAACAAATGCCCGCCGGAGGGCGTATCGATTCGTACAAAATATTCGTGACTGTAAGTGTGCAATGCATTAGACCTTAGCGCGCACACACACACATACATATATTTTTCTAACGTTCAAACATTTTATTCTAATCATTATGATAATGACAAGAAAAAAAATATATATATATACATTTCATTCTATATATCTATATCTGTCTGTCAGTCTATCTGTCTGTCTATCTGTCTGTCAGTCTATCTGTCTGTCTGTCAGTCTCTATCTTTCATTGAATCTCCTTCTCTAGCCGCTCCCTCCTCTTCACGACCTAGCACTATCGACTACAGAGAGGATAGTGGTGTCGTGTCGTGTCGTCGTCATAGTCGTGTAGTTGTGTGTCACAGTAAAAGGGGGAAAAGAAGAGAACACACTGGCTTTTCCTACCGTATGGGGTAACACTCCCGCGCTGCCGGCATAACTGGATGTCGTCGTTCTTTCTTTTGTGCGAGGAACAGCCAAGAGCGGAAGACAAGATGTGACGACGAAAGCGACGACGATGGTGAAGAAGATGATGATATATACACGATCACTGTGGTGTGCGCGCGTTTCCTAATGGTGTAGTAGTAGTAGTGTAGTTACAGCAATAGTAGTAGTAGTAATAATAGTAGTAGTAATAGTGTAGGTGGATGGATGGATATACTTGGATGGATGAAGGCGAACGATATACGCGTATGTGTATATATATATATATATATATAATATGTGTGTAGACTGCTCGGTTGAAATGTGTCGCTGCTTTTTGTCGCTGCTATAATAGTAGGACTCACATACGTATACGACGTATAGATAATATATATATATATATATACGTTCTATATAACCAAATACACTCACGCACTACTACGAGGAGCACGCATGCACGCGACGATACAGGCGTTCGTTCTCTCGGTGACACTTTCACACACACGCGCGCGCGTGCAGATTAGTCAGCGAAGCACGTTATCAACAGAAACGAGACAACCGCCACCGACGGCGTCGCGCGACAGACTGAGCCCACCATGGTTCACTAGAGTATGAGGGAGAATATAGAAGGAGATTTGTGGGGTGGAGGAAGGAGAAGTTGGTAGCTTAGTGGGGATACCTCTCCGTACCTCAGGGACGCGATTAACGACGCAAGGTGCCCCGGGTTTTTCCTTTCTCTCCTCGTTTACACTACCTATCTTCTTTCCCCTTCGTTTTTATCAGTACAAACATCTTTTTTCTCTCTTTTTCTTCTCTTTTTCTCTCTTTTTCTTTATTTATATCTGCTTTTCTTTTCTTTCTTCTTCATCCAAATGAGATCTTTTTTTTTTTCTATTAATTAATGTATACACGCTTTTACCATTCTCGTTGAATCGATCGCGGAAGGCATGATAAACCGATTTTGCTGTTCTATAAAAATGATATTTTTATTTATTAATTTCTTTTTTTTTTTATATAGGCCCGTATACTTTTTTTCTCTCTTTTTTTTTTTTAAAGCTTAATAAAGTTAAACGCACACACACACACGAGTGAGATGCGTCTTCTATCTTTTGCCGGGCGGTTTTGAACTTATTCGATTAAGTGGATCGATGACAGAGAGTGCGCTCGAGCGCGTGACTTTTCTTGCCAATACACACATTCGTGCGCGTTTCGTTCTTGGCGATCGTACGTTAACGCTTTCGTCCAAGAGAATGGGGGGAAAACAAGAAATGCAATAACTTTTGAAATCGTGTACTTTCTCCTATGCATTCACTTCGTCAACTTATATATATATATATATATGTATATATATATATATTTTTATATATATTTTATATTATATATATATTTTATATATTATATATATATTTTATATATTATATGTTTATATTTTATATTTTATGTTTAATATTATATTTTATATTATATTTTACATTATATATTTATATTTTATATTATATTTTATATATTTTATATTTTATGTTTTATATTATATATTATATTATATATTTATATTAATATTAACGATAGACCACTCTTGCAATTTTTACCAAACACATATATGCGTCCATAGCACTCAAAGGGTTATATATATATATATATATTATATATTCTAACTTGCGTACACATAGGAAATACAAGGAAATTTCGGACGAATATTTTTAACATATGCGTTAAAAATTTTCAAGGTTCCTTTTTTTTTTCTAAAAAAAAAAAAAAAGTCTGTAAAATTTTCCCAAAAGTATTACATGACACACGCACGTGTAAGTTAAAATTTAGGAAAAGTAACGAAAAAAGAAAAAAAAAAAAATATCTGATACAGCCTGTTGTAATAGTACACAACACAGATAGACATGATCTTAAGAAAATGGAGAACATAATAAAAAAAAATAAAATGGAAAAAAGAAAAAAAAGAAAAAATAATAAAAAAAAATAATAAAGAAAAGGAAGAANTATATATATATATATATATATATATATATATATATATATATATATATATATATATATATATTTATATTTCCTCGATTATTTTTAGAAAAAAGAGCTTTTATTTCGAGGTCTCATGTAATATATAAAAACATGACGTCGTTTATAAGAGAGTATACTTCTCAACGACGAACAAAGTAATCATCAAGTAACAGGAGAAGAAGCAGCACGAGACGCCTACATCCAATAGCTCGCTCGGTCGTTCGTTCGATCATCGTCCTCAGTTTGGTGTCTCATGACGAAAGCTGCTTCTTGACTAGGGATCCTCCCCTCCTCCTCCACCTCACCTTTAAAATTCTCTTCGAAGATTCCCACGGATGCTCTCGGGACGACTACATCCCTGAGACCTTATGAGAAAGATATATAGAAAGAGAGAGAGAAAGAGAAAGAGGGCTGGAGAGGGAGAAGATGTTGAGGAGGAAAACGAACAGAAGAGAAGAGAAGAGAAGAGAAGGGAGTTAATATTAGAGAGGAGAGCGGATAGGAAGGAAGATAGGGGCGACCCTAAAGCGAGGGAGTGCTGATGCGAAGCCGCGAGCACACGAAGGGACCTTCGAATAAAAAAGCGTTAGGACCTACGGTGAGAAAGAAAAAGATAGGCTAGCAAGAGAACGAAGAGAAGGGAGATCCCTTCTTCCTCGGGAGAGAGAAGGCCGCGCCCACGCGGTTCTCTCGACGATCGTGTGCTGACTCCCCGACTGACACAGCCCTGAGCGACTAAGTAAACACTTCGAAGTCCTGCTATCCAACACACAACCCGTAATACGTATATGCGTGTATATACCTACATATACATATATATATATACATATATAACACATAAGTATTACATTTGTTCGTATGCCTCATATTTTCTACAAGGCTGAATATCCGCAAAGCGTAAACGCGTGCTTTACGTCGAACGGTGTTACGCATTTCCTTTTTAAAAAAGAAATAACAAAGTCGGAAGGAAGTGAAAAAGAAAAAGAGAAAGAAAGAGAGAGAGAGAGAGAGAGAGGGAGAAGAACACAGTGGAAGAAAAACGAAGGAAGAAGGAGTTCGCGTAAAATGGTAACGAGATAGGAACGCGCTACGTTTTTCATGTTACGAACCGAGGACGGTCGGTTCAGCAGCGCGTGCGTACTCGCTACTTCGAAATTCCAGCGAGCTGGGCTTCAGACCTGCTAGAGGGCTAGAGAACCCAAGAGAGATAGAGAGAGACAAGACTGAAGGGGAATTCCAGATCGACAAGACCCTCGTTCTGGTGGCTTTCTGGACATTACCTACTTCTCTTCCTCCGTTTTCCATCCTCGAAAACGAAAGAGGATTTTTTTTCAACAAGCTCTCTCCTATATACTTTATTTTTACTGGTCGATGTCGTTTTAACGACGTATCGAATTTCCACGTTCTTCATTTTAAGGTCTCCCTCTCTCTCTCTCTATCTTTCCTCTTATATATTCCTCCCTCTCTATCTTTCGAAGAAAAAGTGGTAACCCCTAACGATTGTTACGTACCTGACAATTGTCAAGCGGATCACACGATGCTTACACAATACCAAGTTACGTTGCTACCCTCACTTGCTAAGTGATTCTTCTTCTTGCGCATCCATAGTCGTTACGCGAAAGATATAGATAAATAGATAGATAGATAAAGATCGTGCTAAGAAAGATAAAAAGAGATAGAACGAATTTTTAAATCGGAATTCGTACGAGGTCGTCGATGAAAAAGACGTTCTAATGAGTGACTACTACGACGACGACGACGACGACGACGACGATTACGACGATATTCGAAACGAGTGGTAGTCAACAAAAAAATATATATGTATATGTAAAAAGAAAAAGAGAATGGATCATCTTTCTTCTCTTTTCCCTCGTAGTTCCGACCTGATAGGACACGAACATTTTTGAATTTGACACATCTCTCTCGAATATGACGGCGAGTAGCATAAGTCAACGCGTGGCAACGTCGCGACACAGCTGTCATATGCGTCATGCGTCGAGTATCGGAGCGTACACACGAGAGGCCATTCCATGCGATCGTCATCAAACATTGGAATTGGTGTTTGCCAGAATCATGTTGATCTGTACATGGTTCTATCGAATAAATAAGAATAAAGTATATCTATATATGTGTGTGTGTGTGTGTGTGTGTGTGTGTGTATGCATACATGCGATGAGATATCGATGAGGATGATAATAAAACCTATAAAGTGTTATCAAGAAACGGGAATCGTCGATTACTCTCCTTATGAAAATAAACAAATTAGAAATGACACATAATTATAAGATGATAATTTAAAAGCAGCAGCATCTTCTTAACTTTCTTGTTCCTTCCCTCCTGTTCCGAAAATCTCTCGACGAGAAAGTAAAGCTTTGGTGCACACACGAAATGAACACATTTTACGTAACGCACACAACGACGTTGTGTGGTGGTAGGTACTCGATCGGAACGAGTTCTCCTCCTCTTCCCTTCCTCTTCTCTTTCTCTCCCCGGGCCGGCCGCTTTATGCGTGGTCCACCGCGACGGCGATCCCCGATCGATAAGAAAGATTTAAAAAAAGCATCGAGTCACGAATCGATCGGTTTTGTGAACCATTCATTCGATCGGCTAGCTACGAGAATTTCCTTTTAAATTGCCTGCCTGGCTTCCTTTACCCTTTTTCGTTCTGGGAATGCACGCGACGAGTCGAAAATATTATTTCGACGATCTGTATGTACGTGTGTATATATGTATGTGTGTATTTGCGAAGGGAGAGATAGGAGGGAAAAAAGGTATTAAAAAAAAAAAGTAAAAAATGACAGAAAAAGAGGGATAGGGTTGGGTTGCTGCTATCAGCTATGCACCCTTATCAATTGGAAAATTGGTGCGTGTAAGGAGGGGCAGTGAAGAGAGTATGAGAGTAAAAGAGAAGAGAAGAGAGAAGGTGAGAGAAAAAAGAGAAAGAGAGAGAAAGAGGACAGGAGGGAGGAAGAGTGGGAGATTATGTTTACGCGCTCGACAGGGCCGTATTCACGGATTGGGTAGCGTTAGAGGGATCCAACTAGCGAGGAAGGGGTTTTCGGTCTCAGCGAGGTTTCCTTCGTCGTTTGAAAATGTGTCGTCGACCCGCATCATCTATGCACCCTTATGAATCGAAAAATGCCTCGCTCAGTTCCTCCTATGAGGGAAGAGAGGATACGACGTCGATGACGACAGGCAAAAGGGGCTGCTGCTGTTGCTGCTGGTGCTGCTAGTGGTACAAAAGTCAGGGGCGTATCCGTGAACGTGAGGGAGAACGAACGATAAGGTGGAAAGCAACGAGAAAGCTGATGGCGCATGCGTCGTTCCTCTTCGTTGTGGGCGTCGAGTATGTACCGGAGAGAGTACGAAAGAGTAAAAAAGAGAGAGAGAGCAAGAGGAAAAGGGAGAGGAAGGGATGGGAGGAGTTGAAAGGAGGAAGGGAGGGAGGGAGGGTGAGTGGAAGAGAAAGAGAGAGATAGGCGTTGTGACTCTGACGCCAGGACGCGCTCATATTCTCGGCCACGTTCGTTCGTCGTTTCCCGCCTGCCACTCCGAAAATTCTACTTTCCTTTCTATTCCTTTTCATATATATTTGTTTTTTGCTTTTTTTTTTTTTGGGTGGGATATTTTTTACTTTCTTTTTTCTTCTTTG